TATGGTCGGCCTGTGTAATTAGGGACACCTGTCCTCACGTGCCATTTCAGGTGGAGACACGTGCCGCGAAGACACCTGTCACTGTGTATTTTTTGTATATTCTATGTGAATTGAGACGGTTTTGTACCTAAAGGGAACAATAGGCTGTTGTCGAGCATATACACACACAGTCTCCGACCGAAAATTCCTTTGAATTAAGATGATGATTCGTGTTTCTTTTATCATTTAAAAAATTGTATATTCCATAAATAAAGTTATACATGTACAAGAGAACATATTTACAAAATAACCTTCATTTAAGAAGTTCAATGAAAGAACAAACTATTTAGAATTTTTATTTCAATTTTCATTACTGATTTAAAATAAAACTATCCTCTTTAGAAATTAAATAATTTTCTATAGGTATTGTCTATTGAATAGATCTTAATTCTCGTCGTGTATAATATTAAATCAGAATGACGTTAAAAGATCAATGTGAAATCAAAACTGTATTTAATATTCTTGATGGGTTTTTGTGTGAAATTTGTAATCTAACGTACCACATAGACATTTATTAGATAAATGTTTATAATATAATTCATCACATAAAACTTTTTTTTTCCCTTTATTTGCTAAATATGAACGCAGATCCCCGTGTAGTAAACGCTGCACTTTTCGCATGAAATTACAATGTAGGGTCCTAAATGCACATACATCATATTTAACAAACTTTTTTCAGCCATTTTTTTTCTCCAAAGGCCATTGCTTTAGATAAAGAAAAGTCTATAATATTTTGCATGATTTTGTTTTTCTTAAGAACAATGGCTTTTAAAGTAGTACATGCTACTAAAGGCAATCTATTAAAAGAATTACTTGTATAATTAATTATTGCATAATTGTCACAGTTGTATTTTGTTCAGTTTTTGTTGATTTCATTCTATAAAGGTATGAAGTTTGTCAATACTTCAACAAACATTTCTTTATATATGTTTTGCACTACTTTATTTTTATTCGCCGACATGCAAAAAAAACTTGGGTGACTAATAGACTCGATCTTCAGGCCTGTAGGAAAGTAATTTCCGTTAGAGTAATAAACTAACCGGGATTTTATTTTTACTAACATACCTTACCAGATTTCTTAACAAAAAAAAAATCATAGAAATACAGGGCGGGACCAGCTAAAGCTGTATGCATAAGCACAGTCCTGCACATCAACGAGTATAGATGACTTTCGACATAATCTTTCCCATGACTTCACTTATACCAATCACGCCTAAAATACTGAATTAAAATACTGTTATATTTTCCTGCCTTTGATAAGATGTTAGTTTTGTTCCGCCTAGAGATATAACTCTCCTAAGAAAAAGGTTTTCAACATAGATTCTGATTCATTTAACAATTTTACGTGTTAAAATTATGTGGGATTTTTTTTTCTTTAGCTTTTTTCCGTGTTAAAATGATGTGGGATTTTTTTTAAACTAAAGGCCAAGGAGTTTAAAGTACAATGTACATGTAGCAATTAGAGAAAAGTCGAGCAGGTCCACCAGTAATATTGATAGCATGCACAAAATCTAATTAAACCCCGAAAAGGAGGGAGTTCAATTAGTAGTTTAATCCCCCCCCAAAAACCAACAATTTATTAGCAATGAACTATTAATCACCAACTTTTCAATCATCACTATTGAAATAAAAAAAAACTGTTCTTGATAATCATATTATAATTGTAGCTAATTTTCATGCCTTTTAGGATTCCCGTGGAAAGTTCACAATAAAAAAATGTGCTTTTAAAAATTTAACATCTTTTGGTGTGACATAAATTCATAATCATATATGTAACAGTTAAAAGAAGTTGGAGAGGGGGATTACTTTCAGAAAAAGGACGGCCACTACCAATAACCAAGCCCCGAAACCCATATCCCCAAGGCAAATAAGTTGAGGTGTCAAGCAGAGAAACAATTTTTTTCTGCTCTTGCATCATGTATTTAACCGCTTTTTTTTACTAAATATACAGTACTAGGCCTACAAATCATATCGGCAAAAATATTTAGGAGCCGCTCTTTTTTATTCCATGAAAAAGCGGAAAACTTAATTGAATTCTAGATAGATCTCATAATCACACTTAATCATAGTGAATGAAAACAGTTTATATTTCCCATCCTGCATCGCTCTCTGGGCGCTTTATTTCATTGGTCAATTTCCCGAGGCGCCATTTTTGGAGGATCGAGAAGGACGAAGAAGAAGGTGTAAGCAGCTGATAAATGTGAAAAGTTAGATGGTTTTACCACCCAGTGTCTTTAAGACTGTGATAAATGCAATGAACAACGATGAAGGATTAGTGTACGTATATTTTTGTTAACTTTTTACGGTAAATAGTTGTAATATTTGGCAACAACAAATCTTCACTATCGGTGGCAACTTCTGTTCTGACGCCATTTTGAAAAGTTGGATACCTAAGTTTTAAATTGTTAAGTGTATATATTGCAGAGAGAATCAAAGAGAGAGAGAGGAAAAAAATTGAGACAGTGATATAGCATAACTTTGATTATGGAGGCCTCAAAGTCACCGTGCATGTACATGCTGTATGTTGTAAAATGGCAACGTTTCGCTTTTTATCATGTTTATTAAAATGTATGCTCCATATATGTTCTCTCTCTCTATATAAATGAATTCTTTTCGGAATTAAAAAAAAAATATTTTTAACCCCGCTCAAATTATCCGGATGATAATAGTTACACCGATCATGGTTTCGTATTTAAGTTCAGACTGTAGAACATCCGGTTTGAATACATGTGTTTTCTGACTTTTCGGATAGCCAACTCTTGTTTTTTGGAACTTACAACTTATGGCAAGGTATAAATTAAATATTTTTGGTTCAAAACTTTGATAAAAGCATCAATATTTTTACGAAAAGTGTCTTCAATCTCAGCTTATCCAATTATTCATGAAGGATATCCTCATCAGAATTTACAGTAGAAATAGATTGTAGCAAATAGCATAACCCTTAATCATATGCATATTGATGATATGGTAGTTCTCATTCAACCCTCGGCTGTCTCCGTAAATCTCCGACCACCCAGAGGGTCTGGTAAAGAATCATGTTAGCGTTTGTAACCGTCAGAGGGCGCTATCTTGTTTTGATTTTGACGATCCTTTTTGAAAACAAACGTTAAATGTGTTTTCTTCTTCTGGATTGTGTCTTTATATAAATAAATTAATCTTTAATTTGGGACACCAAACGAGAAATTGCTATATCAATCGAAGGAATGTGTATTACGCAGGTAGGGCTACACTACTTTCACTTTTGCTTTGGTACCGAATATTTGCAAGATACACACTTATACACTTACCTATTGAGCTGGTGGGCATTACTGTAAACAATTCCTATCTAACAGCTTTAACTTTCAGACATATAAATTTTACATCTTTAAGTTATTTTTCTGCTGATCTATCATGTATTTATTTAAATCGTGTAGGTGTGTTCTTTTCAGCCAATCAAAAACTTTACCAGAATTTCAGTAAGCCTCGTTTTGGCGTTACAAACGATATTGCGTATCTTTACCAGACCCTCTGTTTGGTCGGATATTTTACGGAAGACAGCCGAGGGTTCGTTGAATCGAGATGAATGATATGGAGGAAAAATATACATAAAAAAGTGAATGTAGGTGAAAGCCTGTCCACTTTTCTGAAGAGGTTAGGTTTGTTTTATTGTTTATTGATATAGATTAGGCTTTATAAAATTAGTCTTTAGATTCTCATCCCCGCCCGCCCCTCTCAAAATGTCCCGCCCCAATGTTTTTTATTTTGATTTTTGGGTATTTTCATGTATTTTTATACAGTAAGAATTTGGGTCAAAGTTTAAGAGTTTATCTCCCGTCTGTATTAAAGTCGCGTGTTGCTATTTATAGAAAAAACGCCATGTGAAGCTGGAGAAAAACGGCAATAAAAGCAGTTTAAATGTGTAAGGAAAAGTTAATTTGTCAGTATAGAGAAGCCAGAGAAGAAAAAATGGCATAAACACATACAGATACCATCACTGGCAGTAGAAGTATGTAGAGAGATTGTAATAAGTATAAATAGACGAGGAAAATGACATCTGGTCAAGTTATATATAACGATCTCCAGCTGTATGACTTAGCTTTGAAATAAAAAAAATCTACAACATCGTAGACAGACTTAAGAGAAGGCCTAGCACGTTTTAGTAGGATAATTATTAGAACATTTATATAGATTTTGCAAAATAGGAAGTCACGCATACACAATTTATTGGTATCCCCCACCTCATTTTTTGTTAGATATACACGATGATAACGCGCGCTTGATTATTTGATCAATAAACAATAAATATTTAACTTTCAAAAAAAGCAAAAATTTTCATTAAATATTTAAAGAATATGAAAAGAATTGAATCTCTTTCATATTTGCATTAAGGTAATGAAAAAAATGTGTAAAGGGGGCGTCCATTGTTTTGTTGGAAACTTAGGCCTACATATAAATTAACAATTATAAAAAATAAAAAATAAAATCCGCCCACCCGCCCCAATTTTTTTGCAAATTAGGATGAGAATTGAAAGATTAATTTTACCTGGCCTTGACCGCTCAAAAGATTTTTTTTTTGTAATGTCTATCCTGTTGAGATGAAGATGTAAAAAAAAAACAGGCTAATAGTGAATTAATATTGATAGTATGACTTGTTTTTAGCTCTACTGGTCAGAGACCAGAAGAGTTTATGCGATAGAAATGCGTCCGGCGTCCGTCCGTCTGTCCAGCTGTCCGTCTGTCTGCAAACACTACTCCTCCTTAAATTTTAGTCTGATTTCAATATAACTTGGCAAACAAGTAGACTACACATAATTCTGTGCATCAGTTCTTTGATAAGTACAAACCAGTAGAGCTACAGTCTCGACAGAGACCTCTGGTTATTTTTCTCATCCTGGTTGTTGCTAATGCTATCTACATAATTAGTCAAATTAATTAGAATGCAATAGTACCACTACCTGGACATAATTTATCATTTCAGAGAGAGAAAACTGTGTGACGTTAAAAGAAACCAGTGAGATAAAATCATAGAAAATGTATGATGATTCAGGATGTGGTCATTTGGTAAGTGGTAATTCATTCATGATTAGTATGTATATGACACATTGCTGAAAAAAAGAGATTCTAAATTTTATCTAAATACTGAACTGTGGTATATCAGCTGTGAGCTACAAGAAGTTTTATGTAAAAGCTACTAGGGCTGAAACAATTTGCCTCCTCCATGTTATGTGTGTATTGCTATGATTGACATACAATCAGTTCTCTAATACATACACTTCAATAAAACTTTGTCATCTTGAACCTGAATTGAAAAGAAAAACTCTGAGATCTTTGAAAAAAAAAAATGAATGAAAAAAAAGGAAATGCATATTAACTGATTTCTTGCTGGTCACATTCAATTCTGAAAGGAAGCTCTAAAAATGAAAGAGTTCTACTTTAATATCAGGTAGTTTTATGAAGTTAGAGTGATCTGCCCTTAGATTAAGATTATGAAAATATTATTTTAGATATTCAGTTAGATTATTTTTGATAGATTAAATTATTTTAAGCATTATTAGAATTTAAAAAAATAGGAAATTAGTTAATTAGCTCACCTGAGCCGAAGGCTTAAGTGAGCTTTTCTGATCAAAATTTGTCCGTTGCCTGTCGTTGTTGTTATTCTGATAAACTTTTTCCATTTGTTTTCACATTTTCATTCTTCTTTCTCAAAAAACGATGGGCCAATTTCAACCAAACTTACAAAGTTATCCTTGGGTGAAGGGGATTCAAGTTTGTTCAAATGAAGGACCATGCCCTTTTCCAAGTACTGTTACATAGGCATATATAAGAAAAATCTTTAAAAATCTTCTTCTCCAGAACCACTGAGCCAGAAAAGATGAAACTCATGTGGAATCATCCTCAGGTAGTGTAGATTCAAGTTTGTATCAAATCATGACCCCTGGGGCAAGGGTGGGGCCAAAATGGCCGACCCAAGTTTTACATAGGGATATATATAAACCTTTTAAAATCTTCTTTTCAAGTACTTCAAAGTTATGATTAGTGATATTTATATGGAATCATCCTCAGGTAGTGTAGATTTTAGTTTGTTCAAATGATGAACGCCTGGAAGGGGGGGGGGGGTAAATTCAAGCCCGATGTGCTCAGGTGTGTACTGTGGCCCCAGGGCCTCTTGTTTTCATAAATTTTTCCAATGTAAGTAAACAGCAATGATTTCTGCTTACAGATAGTCCATTGTCTTTGAAAATTTCTTGGGGGAAATGAGGCACATACCATATGTTCTAAATGCATAAAAAAGGCTCATTATGCATATATTTATATGAAATATGATAGATTTTTTTCTCTCCAAGGAATAATTTCTGCAAGTCACTAAGTTTTTAGAGTTTCCTTTATTTTATAGATATTCAATGAAATTATTTGAAGTATTAAATTTTGGTAAATTTTATGATACTAAAAGGTTATATGGATGAAAAAACAGCATGCGTGTATGACAATCAGGGCTTAAATTTTTAATGTCTCTTAATTTTTCAGTGACATTAAAACAGGAATTGTCATCACCAATAGACGAATTTCACATTCCTAAGAGTTTTCTCCAATTGTCGGCGTATCGTTCATTTTTCCCACTTTGTCCTTTGTAAGTTACTTGTTTATATATTTTTAATCTTCAAAAATATTGGACAATTACGATCTGTATCTGTATTGCCAGAGTATGGGGACAACATGAAAATCATAATGAATATGTTCATACGGATTTTATTTCTAAGATATTGTCTCTCAGCGTTGATACGGTTAAAGAGGGAAAACAGCGTTTTTAAGCCGGTTGACCCCAGATCGACCCTGCGAAGGGGAATAACTTTTGTAAATGTGAAACTTCCTGAAAGTCCTTTATGGTATATCATATAGATCTAAAGGCCGGTATACACGATGAGATTTGTAGTATAATACAAGTATTATAATACTTTTGTATTATTATACTTTCTTGTACACACGCTAATAGATAATCTCATAATATTTAAATAAACTATTATTCCCACGTGTTTTCTCCTGCCATATTTCTCTCTCTGTCAAAATAATAAAAACGATAATAATAAGCTCTGCTTCTAGCATCTTTTTTGTGGTGGCTACAGCTTGATATATTCCACAAGTCCTCTTCCCCTTCCCATAAAACCACGAGTTTTTTTATATCTTTACTCGAAAAGTCGGACTTTATTATTTACCATGTGCTTTATTTAGTAATGATATAAATAGGATGACCCCCAATGTGAGTACATTTGATTGGTTGAAAGTGAAAGGTGAGTTAAGACTTGTATTAGGAAATAGAGCATTGCTCTATTCTAATACAGTCTTATAAGATTCGAAAAATCTTATGATACATTGTATTAAGAGTGTATACACAGTAAGATTTTGTATTGTAATACAAATCTTATAATACAAATCTTACCATGTAAAACCGGCCTTAAAACTGACTGAATTTTGATTAGCCAATTCATGAACATGATGAATGGATGTGAATAATGTTGGTCAATATATGTGAAAAAAAAATGAAATTACTTGTTTATATATACATTTGTGGTATCTCTCCCATTGAAGTTTATAAACTTGTTATTTATTTCTTAAATAAACTGAGCATACATGCAATACCGGTATAAAATTACTCATAAGATACCTGGATACTTAAACCATTATAAAATCATATGTGTCCAATGCAGTATATGATAAATCATTAACCTACAAGTACATTTGTATATATACTGTAATATATATATTGCATTATTTTTAGGTCCTGTTCTGTGGATGTCCTCAGTCAGTGTCTACCCATCACTCCATGTCACACTGGACTAATTTTCTAGGTCAAAGGTCAGTATCAAAATGTACTGTATATCTTTATTTAAATTCGTAGTCCAGAGTATATTTCTCCCCTGGTGTAATCTAGCTTTTGTCTAATGGGGTGGAGGGTCTGCAATGATCTTCAACCAATTTATAGGTTGAATATCAAAATTAATAAAAAAAATCTCTCCCTAATATTTTTGTTATTATAAAGGGTATGTTTTCTCTCAAACTAATCAAACTTAAAGCAGGGTTGGTAGTATGAGATACATGTAGTAATATATTCTCAATGACATAATAAGGCTGAAAACATTATTTATATTATGTTATTTTTTTCACTAATCATAAAGCATAAAATATTAAAGAGATAAATTAAATGCTGAAATCATATGTATCATGGTCATGGAAAGTAATTATTGATATTGGTATATTAAAGGACATTGACTGATCTTTCAGATTTCTAAGTTATCAAGCATTATAATTCTGACATCATATAATAATTTTGTATGAATATTGCAGATCATAGGTGATGTGAAGAAAACCAGGAAACTGATGTTGAAAGGAGTACTTAATGACCCTTATGAATGGACTTGAATGTGAAAGACTGTCTATTGTTTATCTAAGATATATGAATTTATTTAATATTTTGATATCATTGAAAAATTCAGTTACAGTTTTTGTACATCAAATGAATTATTAAACATTTAAAATGGTAATGCTATTTTCTTTTACATGTAATAAATTTTTTTGATAGATTTTTCAAAGAATACGCATTATTTCGCATTGCTTCCTTTAGAAAAGTTGGGGAATCTTGAAGTTTCCCAGTAATTTCCACCAGGAATGGGACTCCAGATAATTCCACCAAGTTTCTGCCACACAGAAAGTGCTACACAAGTTCCATATAGTTTCCTGAGTCAAGGAAACTTCAGGAATCATAAGGTTTCACGAGCTTCCATGTTGTTTCCCATAAAAGAAAACCTTAAGATTCCATCAAGTTTCCATTCCACGGAAACCATCAGCTCATATTCCATATGGTTTCCAGAGTCGAGGAAACTTAAGAATCGTGAGGTTTCCCGAGCTTCTATGTAGTTTCCCGTATAAGGAAACCTAAAGATTCCATCAAGTTTCCATTCCACGGAAACCCCTACGCTCCGATTCCATATGGTTTCCTGAGTCAAGGAAACTTTAGGAATCGTGAGGTTTCCCGAACTTCCATGTAGTTTCCCGTATAAGGAAACCTAAAGATTCCACCAAGTTTCCATTCCACGGAAACCCCCTACGCTCCGATTCCATCAAGTTTCCTGATTCTGGAAACCAGTGGAATCTTCAGGTTTCCCATTACGGGAAACTACGTGGATGTTGGGGAAACTTCAGGTTTACAGAGGTTTCCGTGGTTCGGGATACCTTATGGAATCGGAGCGTAGGGGGTTTCCGTGTCACAGAAACTTGGCGGGAGAACCTAGCATCCGCTACGGAAACCACTGGGAAACATGATGTAAACTTGAGGTTTCCATGTGGTTTCCATAAAGTTTCCCATGATGGGAAACCACTTTTTTCACCCAGTGGGTGGTATAAGGCTTGGCAATGGAGACCTATGTGTACTTGCTAAAGTAGGACTTGGGATACTACCTGATTGCCACATGTGCAACATAATTGGTGGCCTATTCCCCATGGTAATTGGTGGTCCAGAAGGAGTTCCATGATAACCAGGTCCTGTGGCATTTTGCCAAATCTCATTGGGGCAACCTGGGGTCAAGGGCATTTGGACAGGGGCTCCTCCCATACCTCTAGAAACTTGACCCCCTTTCTGAGACCTTTGATCAGCATTTTCAAAACTGATAAAACCTCCTGATTGTAATGAGTCTGACAATATGGTACTAGGTAGCCCAAACCCAAGGCTAGTCGAGCTACCATAACCAGTTGTAAAGTTACGGCTCGGCTCTGTCCCAGACACCCCGTGAGAAGCTGGCATTAACCTGCCCCCCTGCGGAGACAGATCCAACTGAGCTGCCCATACCCCCTGGACCCCAGAGAATGCTACACCCTCACTTAATGCAGAAGACCCATGTACTGTCTGTCCAGGAACCCAAGGACTCCCCTGGCTACTGGAAAGAAGTGGCTGACTTGCAGCGAGGCTGACAGTAGATGTCTGACTTTCACAAGTTTTATTGGGACCAAACAGACCACTCAACATTCTGGTTATTCCCCCCAGCTGGGTACCTACCCCCTGTACTTGCACGGTCATACTCATCTCAAGAGATCCTATATCATTTCTAAGAGAATCTACCCTATGCGACACTTCACCCCTTATAGAATTTACCTGCTCAGAAACCTCACTTCTTAGATCACCCAGACCATAGCCTAAACCATCTACCATACCCTGTAGATTGGCAACTGCTTCCTCAAGTACTTGTTGTCTTTTCTCAAGTTCAGTTATTGACATTACCTCTTTTTTACCCTGAAGCTTACCCCCCTCCTGAGTGAGCGACATATCAACTTGCTCATACTGGATGACATTATAAACAGGGGCACTCTCCCCTCGGGGTGTACTGAACATCTTTGGGTCAAAATGCACCTTGCTCGTATTAGGGACCTTACCCTTACCGATATTCCCTGAGGTACTTCCCAGGCTACCTTGGCCATTTCCCCCAGGCTGGACGTACCGGCCATCCGGATATCCCCCTCTACCTAAACCTACAGTTTGCATTTTTTCCATGATAAAAATAGTAACTCAATACGCACCAAAAATTGAAAAAACAACAATCAATTCTGCATATTACAACATGAATGATCTGCGGAACACCGCGAACATAGCACAAATACACATCAATTTTATTATTTTTCAAAATGGCGCCATCCACGTTGTCGTCACTGTAGAAATAATTTTTCCCCACTCGTCAACACTTACCACCCTGCTCGCAGCGCCATTTATCGTGTTTCCGCTCCGCTACAGAGCCGAGATCGAGGGAAAACGATAGAGTAAACTTACCACTGTTTATTGTATGGAAAAACAGGTAATATAGCAAACACAGTGGACATACAACATGCAAATTCTGGCGCCTCGCTCTCACACACCGGAAAACGTGCTTCTGTTGGGTACCGGTGGGATTCGACCCATAGGCAAAAATGCCCGGTATCGAAAACCACCACACGCATAAACAACAGGTGAGGCTTGAAATAGGTTCAGAATGTGGCTTTATCTTTACCTTAAAATGCTGGTCTCTGTATGAGCTAATCGCTATTGATCCAGAAGGAAATTTTGCTCGAAAAGCGGACATTTCAGATTTCTTTTCGTTTTCGCGTGGTTAACTGGTTCTCCGCCTTTGGCTTTTCTTACTTCGGAACTTCTCAAATTTCTAGTGCATATTATGGTCGTAAACTTAAAAGTGTTCCGAATGTAAAAAGAATGGCCACCAGATAACATTTAGCATTGAAAAAAAAACAAAAAAAACTTTGTGGTTGAGCATCATATTGAGGTATTTGAGACTTTTCTTGCATATTTATTTTTTTCAATATTTAAGCTGAAATAAGCAAATATTGTAGAAATTATAAATGAAACATTAAGCTTTTAGCATACCATTCCATTTGAAACAGAAATGTAAAAGATGCGTCTATTTGCCCAAATGGAATCAAAAACTCAGATGTATACCCATAAACATTGAAACAATGGATGATCCCAAACAATCCCATACACAAGATATCCTACCCATGAATGTTAAAAACTATGCCGAATAAATATTGAGATTTAGTAGGCCTATTATTAAAATTTTTATTAATTTTATTTCAATTTCCAACGGCGGATTCAGGGGTTTTTTTTTTGGGGGGGGGGGGGGGCAGAAAAACTTTCATCCTTTAAGCATTTCTGACATCACATTTGCCAATTTATAATCTGATAATTGTACAATGTTTAAATGTCTAACTGCCAAGCCATCGAAGTTTTTTTGCACGAAAAATAGAAAAACAGCAAAACAACTTTTAATATTTCTGGTCCTCAGAAAAATACAGATCTTTGCAACGTAATTTAACTATTAATTTAATCTCATGAATCACATTGGAGGACTAACTCTAATTTCCCGGACTTTAAAATGCTAGACTTGCTAGAGGTGCGAGGACTATAACTTAATATGAGCTATTGGAAGAAGTAAAGTATAGACCAATCCACACTTTACAAAAGTTGTGTCCCTTTGCGGGGTCAACCAAAAGGTCGAAAGGGAAAGAAGCAACGTTTCTCCTGTTTATGCTACCAAACATTTTGGTGGGCTATGATGAATCCACTGGGTTAAAATTGTTTTCTTTGGATGTATGGGTAGCCCCAACATGGGAAAATCAGTATACACTATGCAACAATTTTTCCTAGTCAAATGACAAAGTTACAAACCTGAAAGGGTACTGTGAGGATTCTATGGGTTTATCCCCTAAGATGGTGGCCAAGGGACATAACTTTTGAAAAGCGTGGATTCAACTATTGCACAAGACTAACCTAATCAGTTAAAATGACATAAATCTGAGGTCATGGTGCAGTGAGTGCGCAAATCTTATGGATTCTGGATGCCGGTAAAATCAAGTCCACCTAAAACTACTTAAACTAGTGTCTTCTCTGTCTTACTCAATTTTATTTCTATTTAGTACTGCCAAAGTAATAATGCATATTGATTATCATACAGCTTTTAAGTTACATGCATTAACCTGAGTCTTTGGGTAATGTAAACCTATAGGGTTTAGCAGAGACATATTGTGTGAACATTTTAAACTTAGACAATATTAATCATGATTAATAACATAATCATTTTTAGTTTTTAGCAGTTAAAATGAAATGAGATAAAGGTTTATTAAATCAGAATGTATATTATTAGTGACGCAAATTCGGTGACTTTATAATTGGAAAGAGGACTTTATTTTGTAAACAATTATCATCTTGTCAAAACAAATTGGATTTTGGTGTTGTTCAAATACACTATAATTTGTTAGATCATTTTGTAATGAAATTGATCCGAATAGACCAATCAAGCCCATCGATAGTAAGTAATAAAATTTGAACGGAAATACAATGGTATCATTAAGAGTTTTGACTAAGAACAATAAAATTGGGAACTTTGAAGTAAGTAAGTAATAGAGCTTAAGGCTAGAACTCCTGTGGTGCAGAGATGAGGACTGAGTCCATAAATATTAGTAACATGTATTTACACACTGTACCTATATTCGAGGGTGGTGCCATGTTGGGGTTCATAGGTCAACGGACAGACCTACGGACAAAGCGTAGGTGGTTAGTGATGGTGAATTAGCCAATGAAATATATTTTCATATATTCGATCAATGCATACTATCTTTGCAAGATATATAATTGTTTTCAGCGGCAGTTCACACATATTGGTCCGACCAAAATAATTCCATCATGATAAGTAGATACAACATTATTGTTCATGATAAGAGTATTTAGTTGTGTATGTCATACGTTAAAGATATCAAAAATAATGTCAAAATATCATTAGAAAGTCACTTTTCCCCCGAAATGCAAATAAAAAATGTTAATATTCCTACGCTCGCTCCCTCCTCAGCCTTTTTTTTTTTTACATGTTTGATAACAGAGAATAATTAGGTCATTCTTCGATTCATATCTTTTCACCGATGAATTGATAATACTATATCAACAATTGTATTAAGTACATGTTTATAGCCCGTTAATTATGTCCCCAAACGGAGTTTGGGA